AGGTAGGACAAAGTGTCTCAGGTAGGATAGAGTGTCTCAAGTAGGACAGAGTGTCTCAGGTAAGACAGAGGGTCTCAGGTAAGACAGAGGGTCTCAGGTAAGACAGAGTGTCTCAAGTAGGACAGAGTGTCTCAGGTAAGACAGAGGGTCTCAGGTAAGACAGAGTGTCTCAAGTAAGACAGAGTGTCTCAAGTAGGACAGAGGGTCTCAGGTAGGACAGAGGATCTCAGGTAGGACAGAGGGTCTCAGGTAAGACAGAGTGTCTCAAGTAGGACAGAGGGTCTCAGGTAGGACAGAGGATCTCAGGTAGGACAGAGGATCTCAGGTAGGACAGAGGGTCTCAGGTAAGACAGAGTGTCTCAAGTAGGACAGAGTGTCTCAGGTAAGACAGAGTGTCTCAAGTAGGACAGGGTGTCTCAACTAATTTTCAAAAGACAGAAATGCATTATTTTTCCTATAAAAATGATGCAGTTGTGTGTCATTTACCTCTTTGACCTGTTTGAAGTAGTTAAGGAACTTAACTTGGGTAACCAGATACGAGTTCTCAGATGGGCCGCCTTTGACTCAGACTTCATCCCCAACCAATTAGACTCCAGTTTTAAAAACTGATCACAGAAAGGAATAACTGCATATTGCAGGATACTGGACAAAAATACTATACCAAACACTACAAAGAAAAACATGATTTAGAAAAAGGGGACTTCTTTAGATACTTGCAACTTAGACAATATATTTTTGCAAACATACTGAAAGCTTGTATCTTAGACTCTAACGAGATAATTCAGTTGGTTTCACAAGCCTACTCCAAACCCCGAAAAATCACTATTTCCTAACTTTATCTGAGATTGTTGAGATCCAAAGGAAAGTCAACAGACTATGTTAGGAAAAGATGGGAAAAAGAGTTGAATACTGAAATATCACAAGAGCAGTGGGACAATATGCGTGAATCCGCTGCTACAACCTCCTCTTCAAACCATTGGCGTGAATTCAGTTGGAAAAATTTGATACGTTTTTTTCAGAACACCAAAGCAGCAGCCTTGTAGAAACCCCGATGCATATAAATGCTGGAGGGGATGTGGGGACACAGAGGCAAATCACTCCCATATTTTCTGGTCCTGCATTAAGATAAAGACTTATTGGAAGGATGTTCTGGGGAAGATTGAGTCAATTTTGGGTCTTGAACTCCAACGACCCACCATGTCATTGCTACTTGGAGCTGTTCCTGAAGGTCTGAATGAGAATGACAAATATTTATTAAAAATCTTCAGTGCCACAGCCAAAAAAACTGATTACTCGGAATTGGCTTCAACCTGACCCAACAACGTTAAAGGACTGGCTGGAACTGGTAGAAGAGACCCATAAAATGGAAAAGTTAACATTCATGCTGAGACTGCAACCGCACCTTTATAAAAAGAGATGGAGCAAATGGACTAGATCTTTAGAGAGCAATATCTGAACCAGGTTTCTCTTTCCTTGTTATTTTAAATGTTGCTCAAAAAATGGGATGTAGTTCTGTTTGCTGTTTCATCCTGTAACTATTCAACTTAGTTAGAATGTGAGTAATTCCTCTTGTCGACAGTCTGTTCTTGTTCTGTGTAATTTATGTGTTTAAAAAAATGTTTCAATAAACATTAAGTAAAAAAATGATGGAGTTGCTTTCTCTTGGTAGTATGGCTTTACTTAAAATTATATATTTGTGAAATTCATTATTGGG